TTATAATCGGCACACATGTGAGTTTTGAAGTATGCATTTTGTCATGTGTCGCGTTTGTAACGCTTATAGGTACTTTTTGTTACGTTATTTAGTTACTAAAGAGGGTATTTACTGCTAATTTATCTTTTACTCGGTAAAGTAAATAAGAAGTAAGTAATTAAGCGTACTTAAACCTGAATCAAGAATACAAGAAAGCCATTGACCTAATAACACGATCACGTTAAGATTCTTTCAGCTGCATATCTCGAACAGTTCTTGAGCGATCACACACGCATTGCACCTTTTTTATCTTTGTTTGGATGTGCCGATGCCGTTCAGCACTAGTTTGGTGTTGATTGAAACATAACATCAATTCTGTGTGCGATCAATTCATCATCATTAATTCATCATTTCTGTGTGCAACTATATTATAGCGACACATTCTACCTCACGCAAAACTCACTGCGCGAAAGTCACGTGCAAAGCACCTTACCCGATACCACTAGAGCACAGGAGGTAGTTATGGAGTTTACGGTAAGTTTCACTTAAATAATTTGGAAGGATTTATCAGCTTCATTCGTAGTTCAGTTTCGATTAGCCCGAGGAGCCTGATGCGACATTCGCTAGCGCCCATCACGGAGTTTGGAGAGTTCAGACCGGGATAGATTGGAAAAAGAAAAGTCTGCTCGGAAGGAAGAGCCCATTATTCGGTATTAGGAATTTGACCGCCACTGTTCCAACTGGGGAAACGTGCCCATGTCTTGTTGTAAATGGGTCGCTTCTTCCTCCCCCCCCCCGTTCCGTCGCGCAAAACGATTGTTTCCTTAATTTTAAGCCATTCAAATACCTGGTACGGGCTACGTAGTAACTTCAAGTCGCATCCTACCAACCAGAATACACAAAACGTCGCAACACCAATGACTGGCGCTGTAGTCTATGTGAGAATGGGGCACGGCTTCTTCAAGGTAACATAGTGTGCGGAGAGAGACCGCGAGTCGCTGACAGACGGCAGTGCGAACCGGCTGCTTACACTGCTATTCCATATCACTATTTCGTGGCTGAACTATCAAAACACTTGTGTTCGAAGCATTTCTCTCGCCTGCACCGGATCCTTCCGTGGCCGCCAGTGCTCGTTTCTAGTCACGGTTAAACATGTAGGCCCCCAACTGCAACGAACTACTTTCAAGTCTCCTCTGTCTTTTTATATCAGACCAATGGCCTGTTTATCGTTAGAAGGTCACAAAGATAGGCAGCATCTCACACACAAATCCGCAAAGGTACACACACACACACACACACACACACACACACACACACACACACACACACACACACACACACACACACACACACACACACACACACACACACACACACACACACACACACACACACTCATATACACACACACTGCACGAAACAAATGGGCACCCGTTCTGCGAGTCTGTGCTCCTCGATTCCCATTTTCGAGGCCGGTTGGCGCCTTGGTGGTGTGACAAGGGCAGCTGTGGAGCATGCGTCAGGGAGGGCGAAGTCGGGACCAGCTGAGGGGTCAGATGAGGCGGGGCGTGACGTCTCTTCCGGTGACGTCACCGCAGACTGACAGTCGGCTCGGGGCGGCGAACGCCTGTGCCAGGAGTGTGGCTGGGTGATGAGTAGAGTCAGGGAAGAAGAAGCGGAGTCAAGAGACCTTCAACACGTTACACTTTGATGTTGTCTCCTCGTCAACGAAATGCGGATTTCTAAGCGAATGCTGCTGCTGACCACCGCCTTTGCTATCCGATATCTTGGATAGAAAGGCCGTTTGCCATCAATATTTTAAAACAGCTTGTAGCGTTCGTTATGATTCCGATCTACGGGGAGATGACCATTCATGTCTGGCTCCAAAATACCTGCCCCACGATTATCGCAGAGTATCCAAGTGCGAGTTTGCAAAAAGAACTAAAGCTGAAAACCTAAAGCTATGCACGTTTGGTTCAACACTAGGACTATGCCATTTCTTCTGAAAGATAGCAAGTAACAGACGAGCCCAAACCTGGGCTGCGTGCCATCCTGCGAACAGGCACGAAGTGTGGCGCAGCACTAGTCCTCCCACCTGTCCTGCGAACAGACACGGAGTGTGGCGCAGCACTACTCCCCCACCAGCGTGCCGTCCTACGAACAGGCACGGAGTGTGGCGCAGCACTAGCCCCCCACCTGTCCTGCGAGCAGGCACGGAGTGTGGCGCAGCACTAGTCCCCCACCTACGCGTCGTCCTGCGAACAAGCACTGAGTGTGGCGCAGCACTAGTCCCCCACATGTCAGAGTGAATGGCCTGGACACAGAGTGTGACGCAGCACTAGACCCTCTCTTGTCACAGTGAATGGTCAGGGTTCGAGCGCTCTCGCAGGCCCATGTTCAGTGAAGCGGAAGGAGTTAAGTGCAGGACCACGCCTAAAGAGAGACTGCGTGCGTACCGGGATGATCAAATGCCAGAATTTGTCCTTCTTCAGGCTTGGTTTTCTGGACATTGAGGATCAGCTGATGCGTAGTTGCTTTAAGACTACATACTGGGCTCATCCTTGTCGACGCATTCTTGTCACCCAGTATGTTCAGGAAAGGCTGGTGGCAGTCAGAGGGGCTGCCCATGAATTAGGGAGTCATTTCTATCATTGAAGCCTCCCCCTCCCCTGGTCACGCACTGGCTATGGTGGGCGAAAAGCCACCTCCCGTGGTTACGCTGTGTTAAGCGTGGCGTCCCAAAATAGCAGTGTTTGTTTGGTCCCCCAATCGAGCTAGAAATGCAAAGCAACTAACGAGCGTGTTCCTTGTCATGTGATGAAACCAACATCATTTAACTTTGGGGCTTTAAGCCGTTGCTTAAAGATTTTAACAAAATTCAAGGTCACTCCTGAGCTTAACGCCACACTGTAAGAGACCTCCCATCCCACCCTTGTTACGCTTTTTTACCCTCTATCAGTCCCCTCCTTCTCCAAGAGTAAGATAATTTATGAATGGCCACTGAGGGCATGGGTTGACTCGAACTGAATGCTTCACACGAACACGATAAAATTTGGTAGTGCCTGCCGTGCGTACACATAAGCAGAAGGCAATTCAAATGAGATGAAGACGCTCCGTCCCGAAAAATTGTATTGCACTGTTCACACCAAAACCCCAAGTGCATAATTTGTAAACTCCGTAATTTTGTAATTCGCTCACGTCGCTAAATATACTTCACTTGCTTTTTTTCGGTGGCAGACTTGCTGTCGCCCCGCACACTTCAAACGGTTCTCTTACGCCGCAGGCTGGCTGCTGCCCAGCACACCTGAAGTGGTTCTCTTACGCCTCAGGCTGGCTGTTGCCCAGCACACCTGAAGTGGTTCTCTTACGCCTCAGGCTGGCTGTTGCCCAGCACACCTCAAGTGGTTCTCTTACGCCGTAGGTTGGCTGTTGCCCAGCACACCTCAAGCGGTTCTCTTACGCCGCAGGCTGGCTGTTGCCCAGCACACCTCAAGCGGTTCTCTTACGCCGCAGGCTGGCTGTTGCCCAGCACACCTGAAGTGGTTCTCTTACGCCTCAGGCTGGCTGTTGCCCAGCACACCTCAAGCGGTTCTCTTACGCCGCAGGCTGGCTGTTGCCCAGCACACCTCAAGCGGTTCTCTTACGCCGCAGGCTGGCTGTTGCCCAGCACACCTCAAGTGGTTCTCTTACGCCGCAGGCTGGCTGTTGCCCAGCACACCTGAAGTGGTTCCCTTACGCCGCAGGCTGGCTGTTGCCCAGCACATCTGAAGTGGTTTTCTTACGCCGCAGGCTGACTGTTGCCCAGCACACCTCAAGCGGTTCTCTTACGCCGCAGGCTGGCTGTTGCCCAGCACACCTCAAGCGGTTCTCTTACGCCGTAGGCTGGCTGTTGCCCAGCACACCTCAAGCGGTTCTCTTACGCCGTAGGCTGGCTGTTGCCCAGCACACCTCAAGCGGTTCTCTTACGCCGTAGGCTGGCTGTTGCCCAGCACACCTCAAGCGGTTCTCTTACGCCGCAGGCTGGCTGTTGCCCAGCACACCTCAAGCGGTTCTCTTACGCCGCAGGCTGGCTGTTGCCCAGCACACCTCAAGCGGTTCTCTTACGCCGCAGGCTGGCTGTTGCCCAGCACACCTCAAGCGGTTCTCTTACGCCGCAGGCTGGCTGTTGCCCTGCACATCTGAAGTGGTTCTCTTACGCCTTAGGCTGGCTGTTGCCCAGCACATCTGCAGTGGTTCTCTTACGCCGTAGGCTGGCTGTTGCCCAGCACATCTGCAGTGGTTCTCTTACGCCGTAGGCTGGCTGTTGCCCAGCACATCTGAAGTGGTTCTCTTACGCCATATGCTGGGGGTTGCCCAGCACATCTGAAGTGGTTCTCTTACGCCGTAGGCTGGCTGTTGCCCAGCACATCTGAAGTGGTTCTCTTACGCCGTAGGCTGGCTGTTGCCCAGCACATCTGAAGAGGTTCTCTTACGCCGTAGGTTGGCTGTTGCCCGGCACTTCTGATGTGGTTCTCTTACGCCGCGGGCTGGCTGTTGCCCAGCACATCTGAAGTGGTTCTCTTACGCCGTAGGTTGGCTGTTGCCCGGCACATCTGAAGTGGTTCTCTTACGCCGTAGGTTGGCTGTTGCCCAGCACACCTCAAGCGGTTCTCTTACGCCGTAGGCTGGCTGTTGCCCGGCACATGTGATGTGGTTCTCTTACGCCGTAGGCTGGCTGTTGCCCAGCACATCTGAAGTGGTTCTCTTACGCCGTAGGCTGGCTGTTGCGTAGCACATCTGAAGTGGTTCTCTTACGCCGTAGGCTGGGGGTTGCCCGACACATCTGAAGTGGTTCTCTTACGCGGCAGACCGGCCACGCTCGGCACCGGGGTCAGTGCAGTCACTGGAACTGCAGCACTGCAAAATTTGCCGTATTATTTTTTCTTTTGAAAGCGTGCTTTGTACAAAAAATGTATTAGGATTTTTACGATTCTTGGAAACACATCTCTGCATTGGGTGCATTATGTTTTTTTACATTTCATGATTTAATGCGGCCCGAAATAAGTTTGGTGTTAGTCGAGTAATTACAGATAAAGCTGGGCCCCGAAAACACACGTTTAAACGGAAGTTATGATGAGTTTTGAAACCAAAATTGAGGAAAGAAGTTAGCCAAGCACATCTACCCGACCTGACACCCTTGTCCAATTGGTGGCGAGTACGAGTATTATCCCGCGACTACAGTTACCGCGGCTTCCAGGCACCATCCAGGTACTACAGCGGCTCTAACAACCAGGCTGATCACACGTGACACAACTGGTCGGTTTGTCGAGACCTGGCTGTACTCTGAGTACGCTCCACATCGGTACACACATGATGTGGCGATCCGATCGTGAAAAATGGCCGTCGATCACGTCCCCTGCAGCAACCGCACGCGTCGCTACGCAAATTGCCGTGACCAAGGCGGTGCTCATGCTCAGCCGTTGCGCTCATCAGTAGTGCTGATTTGGGTAAACAAGTTGTGAAGAAACCACGGGAAGCAGGGCTCCAACGAGACACCAGCACGCATGGACAACGGAACACAAAGCACACACGGTATCCACATACATACAGTAGCTTTACCAGAGTGCGACTAGCAACGCCACACTAGTATAAGAACTCTGGCATTGGCATTACAACGCACGGTAGAATCTGACCATTCCCCAAGATTTGTCGGGACATTTAGGAAACCAACGAGCGGAACGAGCACAAATAACAAATATAGCCACAATTGAACAATCAACCATGTTTCATCTCAAAGAAGAGTTAACACTTGTAGCGAATAACACATAAAGCTGGAAAGCTTGCTCCATTGCCTTTTCGAAAGCGATACCCTTGAAAACGTTACTTTGGACTTTCAGCTCAACGTGACGTTACGTAACACTTTGACAGGGACGCGCAGTACATGGTACATGCCACCAATGTCACTAAAAATCAATAAAAAGTATGTATCAATGTACAAGTATGACGCAACCAACGTTAAAGAGCCCGTTTTTCGCGAATCGACGGCACCAAACACCATAAGTGGTCCTGCGATCCACTAAACTGGTCGGCTTGGCTGCATTTGCTTCCCTCGATAATCTCGTCACGGCTTAACTTGCTGGCCGTTGTGGGAATGAAATACAAAACCGCCAGAAGACTACGGGAAGAATGTCTTGTTTGCAGCTTCGAAAACCTGAAAGTAACAGAAGTCAAGTTATTGTGCCCACTGTCGATCAGATGTTGATTGCAGTGCGCCTCGGTAGTGCTAGAGCTAGGTGTTTAGCCAACGTCGTCTTTAAACTCGAATAGCTTTAAAACCGTGAATCGACTAAACCAGCCAGAAAAAAGCTTTGTGGCCATATTTCGCTCACCGGAGAAAGCCATCGGATCAAGTCCGTCGAAATTGGTCGCTGGCACGCGAAGCCTTCCATAAGTCCGAGGTTAAAACATCGGGCACTTTGGGGACGAGCAAGACCACGAGTGTGACAAGCTGCAGCCGGTGGGATCGACCACGAGTGTGATGAGCTGCACCCAGGGGACAGCCAGGGTGCTGATGGATCACGAGCGTGACGAGCTACATCCAGCGGACAGCCAGGGTGCTGATGGATCACGAGCGTGACGAGCTGCACCCGGCGGACAGCCACGGTGCTGATGGACCACGAGTGTGACGAGCTGCACCCGGCGGACAGCCAGGGTGCTGATAATCACGAGTGTGACGAGCTGCACCCGGCCGACAGCCAGAGCAATGCTAGACGACTCCAGCACGATTGACTCGCTGACAGATTAGGCCGGAGGACCCAGCGTTTGGAATCTTCTGTATTTAATTCGCCACCTATCCACAAACGATGTCCAACCACTTCCCATTCGCTATCAGTTATAATGCGTATATTGCCACGTCTTTCCATCTGTGATACATTCTTTAACCATCTCTTTATTTTCATTAATGGTAATGGTTTTATATGATACGACGTATTGAAAACGCAATACACTGTGGTATGGATCCTTCATTTGAATAGCATCTGCGGAAAACAAATCTCAAAATAGAAGGCGAAAAGAAGCCCTATTCTAAGAAATACCAACCTAAAAAACCCAAACCAAGAAACCCCAGTCAAAGAAACTCCAACCTAAACGGCCCCACCCTAAGAAAACCCAACCTACGGGAGGCAATCAATGCTTTTGTTTTAGATACTGGCACCGCCTTGCTCAAGACAAGCGTAGTTTTTTAATGCTTGCATTTGTGGGAACAGTTTGCGCCGCATCACTTTTCTCCAATCTACTGACAGTCAGAGAAAATCGTGTATAGTACAGAAGCAAAGCGAATTTTTCTTCTTCTTTCACGCTACACCGGCTGCGGCTGTTAGGTGTAACATGGTAGCATGGGTTAACAAGCGCTGTTTGGCGCTTAACGAATGGCGTTCAGGCTCCCGAGCTCATCATCAGGCCCACGGGCATACGTCTGGTGTGCGCTGTCAGCTTGTCTCTAGCTGCCCACGATGCGCTAGCGGTGGAGAACGGAGTCAGCAAGGTAGGGATGGGAGAGAGTTTTGCCGACACGCCGGTGATGTCCTTTAAATGGATTGGCAGACCGTTACGCCGTATACGCATGCCATTCTGATACAGGGATACATTATGGTGCTTCTCACGTTAGGCTGTTATCGCACGGCTGCCAAAGTGGCGCAGCACACGGGATTACGATAATGGTCTCGCTCAGATGGACCCAACAGCGGCGGTACAACACCGATACAGCCAATATTGTTGTTCAGTGTGCCCGGACCGATCAATCAGTGCTGACCGGCAGAGGCGCCAGACCAGAGTCAAATCAGCGGCGCTCACTGGCGCAGCAAACCGTTCCGTCTTCACAATCGGAACGCTGTAGCCGCCAATGGCATTGGCCCAGTGGTAGGTGACCGCTAACTCCGCCCAGCCGCGGTCGGCGACGGCCGCCCGCCTCCGGTCGGGACGAGGCCGGTGGCGTGCGGGAAGCGGCCGTCGGTGCTGAGCGGTGAGGCGGCCTGCCTCGGGTCGCGCCCGACGTCGGCCGCCAGCCTCGGCTCCGGCCCCGCACAGCGACAGACTGACTGACCGGAGTCGGAGCGCGCCTGGAGCCACGGTGACAGACTGACCGAGCGGGGCCGGAGCGCGCCTGGAGCCACGGTGACAGACTGACCGAGCGGGGCCGGAGCGCGCCTGAAGCCATGGTGACAGACTGACCGAGCGGGGCCGGAGCGCGCCTGGAGCCACGGTGACAGACTGACCGAGCGGGGCCAGAGCGCGCCTGGAGCCACGGTGACAGACTGACCGAGCGGGGTCGGAGCGCGCCTGGAGCCACGGTGACAGACTGACCGAGCGGGGCCAGAGCGCGCCTGGAGCCACGGTGACAGACTGACCGAGCGGGGTCGGAGCGCGCCTGGAGCCACGGTGACAGACTGACCGAACGGGGTCGGAGCGCGCCTGGAGCCACGGTGACAGACTGACCGAGCGGGGCCGGAGCGCGCCTGAAGCCACGGTGACAGACTGACCGAGCGGGGCCGGAGCGCGCCTGGAGCCACGGTGACAGACTGACCGAGCGGGGCCGGAGCGCGTCTGGAGCCACGGCGACAGGCCGACCGAGCGGGGCCAGAGCACGCCTGGAGCCACGGTGACAGGCCGACCGAGCGGGGCCAGAGCACGCCTGGAGCCACGGTGACAGGCCGACCGAGCGGAGCCGGAGCGCGCCTGGAGCCCTGACCCGACCGGCGCCAGGTTACGCGTCGTCAGAGCGGCTCGCCGCGCGCGGCGGAGCGTGTTGCACGCTTCTCTGGAGTCGATCCGGATGTCCTTGGGTTAGGAATCTACCACGCAGCCCAGTGACGTCAAACTGCAGCAGCCGTCCTAGTGTCGTAAATGACATCAAATATATGCCGGAAGGCGCTCCAAACCCTGCTGACACTGTGACCGCGAGCGGACTGTTGCACCTGGCCCCTGCTCGCGAGCGACGAGTGACAGTTGCTGCAATCCGGTCGGCTAGACCCTGAAAACAATTTCCTACACCTCCAAATAAATTCATCGCCAGCTTAATCCAAAGAGCGCGATCAATCTGGACCGAAGTCATTTGAAGCTGGGCAATCTATCCGAGGGATTACGATAGGACAGTTCCATGGTCCGAGAATGAAAGCCAATAGACCGCCCGAATGATGACGGGATCGAGGCTAACTGTAAGCCTCGAGGCCGAGGCCTCGAGGCCTCATCAAAAGAATTGACGCCTGTGGTGATTGTCAGGTGTCAGGTGTCAGGTGTCGCAGGTGTGGAGTACAGATAATATAGTGATGATCAAGGTTTTATGGCGTCACTCAACCGCACTTACAGACATGCTTAATAATTTTTACGGTTAAGTGTGTTGCCACAAACTCAAATGTAAGTGGCATGTCTACGTTGCTACCAAGGTTACATGACACACCGAATTTGTTTTTGATTGTTGGTTTTTCACATAATTTTTCCCAAGTTTAAGATTTATCACATTGATTAGTAAGCTATTCTCAAGATTCACGAAAATGCTGAGGCATTTATAGAATGTTTTTGATACTAAACATGAGATAAGTACTTCGTTCGATTTATTTTGATCAGGAAAGCGATGATAAAACTCAGGCAGAATCAACACTCTACCATTTATCAGTTTTCATGCTTAATTTGATTTCATCCATTGAGACTTATCATTAAATTCCGGTCTGTTGAGGTAGCGCCTTTTATGGCTGACGATTGACGATGGCGATTTACGGCCCCGGACCGCACAATTCTGTCCCAAACTCGTCCCGTCCCTTATATTTAGCCTCTCGTCCTTACATCCTATCCAAACCCATCCTGCCATCCTTTAATCTTTGCTTCCTAATCAGCAAGCGGTTTTACCACCTCGATGTGCTGATAGACACCAATACCAGTGGATATGCCGGCACGTAACACACAATACCATACAATGCGGTTTTCTCTTTCTTGGAAAACAAACATTTGCTATAGTCAGTTTATATACACACACACACACACACACACACACACACACACACACATATATATATATATATATATATATATATATATATATATATATATATATATATATATATATATATATGTATAATATACCAAAGTTAGAAGGGGGTGTTACTTATATACGTTAATTTGCTCTGTCTCTGCTGCATCCAGCTTGTGTCTATCCTAAACATTTCTGGATTCAATCTGTGATTTCCAGTGCTGTCCGAATCTGTCTGAAGTCAAGTTTCAATCCTTCCACGAAGCTTCCTGCAGACAGCTACACGTGATGTGGCGTTCAGAGTTGGTCAATGTGTCGAAATCACCTTAGTAAAACGTGTCATGGAGAACAAAGTGCCTTTGCGTAACCCCCGACGGGGACCGAAATCAACAAATTTAAGATATCCATAAATGGAAGGCCGAAATTGCGAAAAGAAACCAAAACCGGGGCCCAAAATCCTCCGCAAAGGCTATCATTTCCCACCCACAATACTGAATTTTGACAAACTGGCAATAGCCGGACTAAAACATTTCTCACTCATTCTCAACACCGCAGTCTTATAAACCACTTGTGCCGCCTAATATCTCGATGAGCTGTGCAGGGATCGCTCGCACTAAAAAAACAACATTTTTTGGCAGCCTCGAATGCCATTAAGTTTTAATTACCAATTGACTGGGGGGGGGAGAACTATCATAGACGTGGTGTAATTTCAGTCTTCTGCACAATTGGTACATCATACTGAACCATTTCAAGCCTGCAACAATGCCGTTTTTTGACACCTACGATGAACTAGAAACGAAAGGTTTCCCCCAACTAGTGATCCCAGCTATTTAAACGAGTGCTGCAACAAAAGTAGCCAAGTGAATGTTTCGAAATTGGTCTTAAGCGGCGTAAAAATGTTAAAATCAGTTACACACAAATTCCTGGTGCGGTCCTTATCGCCAGTTCTTGGCAATTTTAGCCACAAATCTGGGTGTCATTTTGGTCTCCCATTTCCCTTCGTTTTTGGGAGGTCGAAACAGGAAAAACCTCCGCATGGAAGCGTACGAAGTCTCAAATTTACGACCGATTTCTGGTGAAGATTTTCTGTGAGCTCTGGCCAGAAAAAAAAGAATGAATAGTCTCCGTACTTTGTTTTGCTAAAGAACATAATATGTTCTTTCCATATTAAGAAGGAAATCATGGGTTGGTATAAAACTGCCCTATTCCCACCAAAGAGGAATTTGTGGCAACGTTGACGTGATGCATCTATTCTAGAAGGAAACCGAAATTACGAAGGGGATAAACAACTAAGAGCCTGAAGTCTCGCTTAAAATTTGTCATTCTCCACCCAAAATCCAGATTTATGACGCTCTAGAGATAGCTGGGAGGTGGTTACTTCCAGTACACTGGTTGGCCGGGCGGCGCGGTCGTGACCGGCGGCGGCCTCACCCTGGCCGGCTGCCGAGCACGCGGAATACCGAGCGGCCCTCCGCTTTCGAGCGCCGCCGACTGGAACAGCCTCTCCTCCGGGTCGTCGCCGATACCGCTCCTGGCCACGCCGGAGCTCAGCGGCTGCGACAGGCTGAGCAGGGTGGCCGGTGGCTGGGAACGCTCTGCTGCCGCGAACCGGCGCAGAGTGATCTCCGTCTACCGGACAAAAAAGCGCCATCACAATTACCGGCAGAACTTTGCGGATTTGTGCGCACTTCCTTTCCGTGAATGAATTTTACGCGCAAGGAGCATTGATTGGCGTATGTAAAGCTTTTTATCAACTAGTGCGTACATACTCTTTCCACACGGACATGTTCAATTCAAATTTTTTCCTCGAAGAGCTTTTGATATTACAAATATTTTGCATGTCTTTTTTGCACTGGAACAATGTATGCTTTCGAAACTATGCGTACGAGCTTTGGTGTACGCAGCTTTGCCATGTGAACTTTATACCATATGTACACAAGCTTGCGAACAATCATTTACTAACTTTATACATGCGTCTTTCCCAAAGAACCTGCAATCTTAAGGCCTTTAAACACACTCAGTCCTACCGCGTGCCGTGGACACCCAGCCGCAGAGTCCATAATGAGTCACCAGGATGGCCCCACAACTCGTACACTAATGCATACCATTTCACAACAGCGGATTCACTGCTCCTCACCAAGTAGAAGGCTACAGCGGCTCCGAGCAGGTATCCGGCGAGCAGGTCAGACCAGCGGCAGCGAAACAAGTGCAGGCTGCCGATTCCGGGCAGCAGGCCACCGAGCAGTGCCAGCGTCACCAGAGCCGGCCGCACCGTCACTAGGCGCCGGAACGACACCATCTGGTGCAGGTAGCACGCCAGGAATACGCCGCAGAAGACCGGCAGTGCCGCGTGCTCTGAGGGAAAGCTGCGCAGCGCGGCGTCCACGGCGTGCGCGCCCGCCAGGCACGTGACGGACGACGGCGTGAACGTGGCCGCCGTGGAGAGACGCTCCGTGTAGATGTCGCCACCGCAGATGGCAGAGATGGCGCTGCTATTCGGTTGGCAGGCTTGCAGAAAGTGCGGCCGCGGAACGACGAAAACGTACTTGAGTGTGAAGGTGAGCACCATAGTGAGCAGCATTCCGAACAGGAGCGTACCTGCCGACCGCGATAATGCGTTGGGATATTGAAGCGCTGTGAGATAGATGGCTGCCCTTATTGAATCGAATCCAGTCGCCACTACGCACTAAACAAGCGCGCCGTCACTGTCAGGGCGGTGTCGATTTAGCCCCCACCCGCGTATCGTAAAAACTAACACACGGATAAAAAGACCAATTGAGAACATCGAGTTTTTTTCTGATACCAACCACTACATTAAAGCAACCTATGACGTCACGTCATCCAGGTCATGCAATCAAATACCGTGAAACCAAACCGGAAAAAAATAGGTGAACCCAGATCAGTAAGTCATGACACAACACGTAACAGATGACAATATCGGCAAGAGCACCCTGTAGAGTGTAGCTTTGCGCAAAAAGTCTTAGAGCACTGGCTACACGGAGCTTCCACTTATCTGCATCATAAGCGTGGGGATCAGCTGTCCTTGGATTAGAGTACAACTTATGTTATGTCCGGTAACGCCAGGAGCATACGTTCGAGACATCTTAAGACCATAAATCTGGTAAGATGGCATAATGACTTGCGCCAAACTTTGCCATGATTTTAGTATAACTCCTTGAAATGTGCAAATTACGGATTGTGATAGATCTGCGACAAACACACTTAGCCAAACACGACCTGTTCCGTTGCATGGTGTCCAATTTGGTGAACTAGTGACTCGAGAGTACTACGGAGCTGCGTGAGTATAAGTCTCTGAAACATCATACCTCACTAGATGGAAGTAGCTGAATCCTGGCTTATATGAGCCCAACTTAATCACTTGCTTAACTTATTTGTTGTAACTTTTGAACGTCCGTTAAGTGTTCACCAACAATAAGTGGCAAAGTACTCAGAAGGTGTTTATCCCAGCAAATGATTGATTCCAAAAAAAGCTCTTGCCTTATATCATAACTTAAGGCTAGGCTGAAACAGCACTGAAACGCATAAAATAAAGATGCAGGGACCGAAAATTCAAATTTTCTGGATATGATCGGTGACTAAACTGAACATTTTTGTTGGCCGATTGGTGACGAAATCGCAAAAAAAACAAGTTACAACAGCTTGAACCATATGACAGCAGACCATCCCAGTTAGACGAAACTCAAAGCTTAGTATTAGTCTATACTCGTTACCGTTCGCTGCGTGAGTTTGTTTAGAGCACATGCCGAAACATTGAGGCTTTACTGCATGAGCAGGCCGAGCCACAAAATAATGCCAAACCTGGTGGGTTAGAAAATACTGCTATAAACAATGTAAGCAAGTGTTGCTGTACCTTCAGCGCGGAACAAGGTTGGCAATAGTGCTGTTCAAAAGGGCCGCGCATGCCAGCGCTTATCCTCGAATTTCATTGCGGCTTTGGTTAGGTGAAATCGGAAAACACATGTTGGGCCATTGATCCAACGGTGGCAACGGTGAATTGAGATGAGCTCGAGTGCAAACGCCTAGATTCTGGACTGCCCTGTTTCGAGAACGATCTCCAGCCCCGGTAGTCCGATGTGCTACAAGCTCTTATCTATTCTCCGAACAAAGCGCACAAAATGCCATATCTAATGACGCATCGTTCAGCTACAGTCATCACTCTCATTTAGCCTTGTTCGGCACTTGATTTTCGACATAGACGGCCATCTGATAGGAAAGATTGGGCACATCCGGATCAAGAAGTACCTGATGTAGTGGTTCTTTTCATGTTACCGCTCCGTTATCTGTGCAAACACATTCCATGGCTGTCTGTCTAACGCCAGACTCCGTTGACAGTGCCTGCGGTCGATGCGGTCTCGCTGTGGTAGGTAGATGACACCACAGTTGGCTCGCGTATCAATCGATGAATTTCTGCCAGAAACACTTCTGCTGTCGACAAATACAAACGTGGCGTGTGTGTAGCAATGGGCACTGTGCGTGGGTTTTGCCTTTTGAGCAGTGAGAACAAATGTCTAGAATGGTGCCTGCCAGTGAAGTATATATATATATATATATATATATATATATATATATATATACATGTGTGTGTGTGTGTGTGCGTGTGTTAGGCTATTTTCATTGAATGTAAACATGTTGCTGAGCAAAATTTTTCAAGAATGCTGCCATGCACTTAATTTCAGCGTACTGTACCGCGCCCCAACGTCTTTTGCGGTCATTGTTTTAGCTCTAGAGTGACTGCGGTGACCAAATATATGTGCCCTGATCCGTGACGTCATAGCAAAACTATGACGTCATAAGATTTTATGGAGACACAAACCCTCGATGTGGATTAGTGTGGCTGCAGCAGCCGAAGCGAACGCAGGTACTGTGACCACGGCTCAGGTTTGTTTCAAAAGGAAATCACTTGGAAGTGAGTGGTAATTGAGCGAATTCGATCGAGTCTCTGCATTTTAGAGATACTAAAATGCTGGTTACCTCAAAAGAAAATGATACGGTGAAAATGATCAATCCGTGTGGCTAGAATTAAAATGCAAAATAGTTTAAACAGTATAACATATAGTAAATGAGAGTCATAAACATTTTTTTGATGGGTTAACAGATTTCACCATTGTCCATCTTTCGCCGCTGGCATGGTAAAAGTAATTTTATTACTCGGACCCCAAAACAACACATACCAATCAACGTTCGGTAGTCGACGTGCCAGAGACGAGCATGCAGGGGTTGTGTGGATGTGTGTGAACTCCGAAAAATCGACCACCCCGCACCGAAAAGTTCACTCGTTTTTGCAATCATATCGTGAACAGATAGCCTTTGACCGTGCCAGCATTTTCTCTGTGCGTGTCAGCATGTCAGTGCCTGCCTTTTAAAAGGAATGTTCCCCATTTGAAAGATGTGCTACAGAACGGAAGGCAGCATATCGGGTTAAGTTTCCATCTGGTGAACATTAGATAATATCATATCGTGCATGCTAACTTTTAAAAATGCGAAAAAAGCTTCTCAACTGTAATCGGTGTGCTTAATCCGAGACCACCCGGGGGCACCGATCCGACATCCCGCCTGATGTCTCAACAATCGATGGCTGCTCCGGACAAATTTAGACGCCGTATGATGAGCACGGGTCCGACCCTCCTTGAAACTGAGACACAAGATCTCTGATGCATTTTGGGTCGAAATAGGTTGGCAAGGTCAGGACCAGGTCAAGCAAGGTCCAAATCTGTCTTAAATGAATTTAGCCCTGCTATACGTGCATCTGGTCTATTTCTGATACAGCTGCTGTAATAGAAAAAGACCAGAAATTAAATCATCTAGGCTATCCGACACAGGGTCTTTAATAGATCAGGCTACAGACCTCAGCAGAAGTGCTAATCGCCACTTAAGACCATTTAAGGAAAGTGATTTAGGGTAGTCAGAACCCTGGAGCAAAGAAATACGTTTGATGGAATTTTACATAGTGTGTGCATGACCACCATCGTTTCCATTATATGTGCCTTAATATTTAAAAAAATATTGTAAGATAAGTGCTGATAGCAGCGTGAACGTCCCAATTATTTGTTGTTTTTTGGTACGGTATCACCGTCTTCTAACGCAGTTTCGCAATGCAAGGTTTTTGTCGCATGTTAGATACCTAACTTGGTAAGAAGTAGAAATTTGCTATGACCTAGGACCACATGGTCGCGCGAGATTACAGCATGCTCATACGAATAGTTTAGCAGATACCGCACCCTAAGTGCCGGCGAGGTCATCCTATCAGAATGAAAGCCATCGCCAACACATCCCAGCTTAATACGCTCACTTGAAAGACGCACAAATCAACGCGGCCAAGATTCCTGCCGAGCTAACCTGTAATGCGGATGAGACGTCTGGTAAAGTAATGGAACGTCCAGTTAGGACAATTGGTGGTTATGGCCTTCTTTTCCCCATCGTAGAAGAACCAGTGGATGATTTCAACGATGACAATCTGAAAGCAAAAACATTCAGACCACGTCCTTTGCATGACGCGCGTAATACACATCGCTGGGATAGATTGAAATATTAGTCAAAGAACGATTTGAAATCTAATGTCATCGACCTTCAAAGTCTTCAATGCAAGACGCTTCACCCTCGTCAGAGGATAATTTCGCTGAGAGCAGTGAAATCAACTCGCGTGCTGACTGATTCACAACATGCTTCGTGTTTACGCACATTCGAGCCCCACAAATATTCTCATGCAAAAGTTAGACAGTGAATTTGGCGACCTCCCATGAGAAGTTTGATGCGTCTCATTATGTCTTACCGTGACAACTGGAATGAAGAAGCTGGCTGAGTAGAGGCCCGAGTCGTTGAGGTACAACGGGTGGCGGTCAGTGTCGTTGTAGTAGGGATAGGAGATCCACTGGACGTCAGCGCACGGCAGCGGGTACCGCTTCTCCTTGAAGTTGTCCAGGTACCTGCAACAGATGGCGAGCCGCAGTCACGTTGTTGAAAACGACACGGTTAGTTCATGGTGTGATTTCTGGAAAACTGAGCGGTTTCCAGAAAGACGTGAAAACATCGAATCCGTAACCATTGCAGGTGAACGTGCAGCACATTTGAAAGCACATAACTAACCCGGCGCATCTGGCTGCAAATCAAGCACTTTTCAGTTGTTTGTAATTCCATAAAGTTAGAATCCTATCGGTACCTCCAATCTAAACTGCAGTGAAGGCAGATGCGAATCATCGGTTCCGGCCGCATTTTGGTAAGGAGTGTTTGATTAATTATATTCTACAACAGTAGAGCTTTTTTTTCTTAAAGTCGCGGCACAGGCGCGCCAAATTCTGTATGGCTCTAAGCAACTGAATATTGAATCTTTTGGTATAGAGTTAAATGCACTAAGGTAAGGTCGCTGATATGTTGTACTAACACACACATAAATGGATGTTGTTAGGTCACTGACCTATATGGCGTCAAATTCAGGTCTTGACTTTCAACGACGGCATTTCTAGGGAATCGTTCGATCTGTTGTCAACGGAGTGTCAGACAAAACCATGCATCCATAAAATAGTTTCTTAGTTAACAATAAAATTGAATTTATGATAAAGACAAATTCCATTGACCTTGAGTGAGTTATGGAGGTCATACAAATGTCAAAACCAACTCGCTTTTTACTGACGACCCTGCTCTATGGGGTAGTTTCTAATGCTCATTTCGAATTTCTTGGTAACAGGGGCCGCAACAGACATTTTCCATGAAATTCTGAAAGGTCAGAGATGGTCACTGACCTAAAATAACCTGGATCAGCATTTAGTTTCAAAAACATACTACCTAATGCAATCCCTGACGCCCATTGAAATTCCAAATTCACACCGATCTTGTATATTTTTAGTCGCAACGGGCGTTTAAAGGTTAAACTAGGTCACTAACCGGTACTGGATGCAAGTGACCTTTTGCTTAGAACAGGTATGTAGGTTCCAGGCGGTTGAATGGGGAGGTAAGGAGGCATTTTGGACACCAATATGGAGTCTGACCTTGCTTGACTTCATTCGATCCAAAGGTCTTGCCTTGGGAGCCTCAGCTTTGGACACAAGTGAAGTCACGTATCTACCCTATGAATTTAGTGTCTCCAGCTCTCTCAGTTGTTGAGATTTCAGGAGGTCATATCGGACAGAGGGCATTCAACTGGGCACTAAGGTGTGTGTCAAGTATTGTACATGCACGCTTTGACCAAAAGTCAGACGTAGCCAATGCATCAAAGTCTCCATCCTCCACCATACGCTATGCGGGTAGCCCTCTGCAGTCTCCTAAAGGCATGGAAGAAGCTAGGTTAATTGTGCACGGAGCTCGGTAGCATTCAAAGATTATGTATCGCAAAAATATCAATCATGCCATTTATGTCTACATGTATATTCCAACTTTGGGCAAATCAGCTATAAACGAAGAGATTGATAGTGCCAATTTTATTTAGGTCTTGTGATGATAAAACTACCCCCGTAATGATCGATCCTGAACGTATCTAGCAGATCCGTGGCTGATTCCAGGGTTGAGAAATGGAAAGCCCAAATGAACAGTAAGCTTTAGAAGTTGTGACAATGATATACGCAGCATAAGAGTAACAGTGCGTGTAAAGCGTATCTAGACATGTGCTAAAGACGCGTCCAGTTTTCCAAGCGACGGGGAGTAGGCCACATTATTTGAGTGGAGCCTGCTGAAGCGGCCGCCGTCCACCAACGGTCCGCTGTTGGCGGTTATGGTCCGTGTTCTGCCCTCTATGGTCCGTGTTCCCTTCCTGCTCTTTGCCGTTCCTGTACTCGCTTCTGGCATTCAATTATCTTTTCAGATGTTACCTTCTGTACGGAAGTGAAAGATGGAGATCACATTCCCTATTGCTTTTATCCTGTAAGGATCCCTGCTGTTTTTCTTCCTTCCTTACGTGGGCATATATCAGTTTCTAATATTTACTAGAAACAAAGCTATAAGCATTTACTCTTAGCGCCATAGTGGTGGCCTAAGACGAACATCATGATCGTCCGCGACCTCATTCGTTTCCCTTCGACACGGCTTGTCACCGCATATTCAATCGGTTGCGCCAATGTCGGCAGAAACTGCAGACTTTTCCATCTCGATGCCCTTTATTTTTTGTCTGAATCTTCAATCTAGATGCGTTGACGTACCGAATGCATCGAAGATCCTTACACTGAGTGAAAACTCCTCGTTTTGAAGTCCCGGAATCGCCTCATGCATGCTAGTTCCTGGTATGTTGCAATAACGACATCCATGCATTCACAGCATGCAGACGATTCATTTACCGGAAACAGCAGTAACTCTGTAATCGCACAACATCGCGTGGAATCCCGTGACGTTCACTATTTTAGCGTCATTACTAAATTTCACTGGCGATTTATCCCGAAACCGACCATGGAACCGACCCTTTGCATGCCACGTACTCTAAAATTTGACGAAGTGCGTTCAAATGATGTGAAGAAAGCAAGGGCGTTCTAAGGTTGGCTCCGAACTTTTCCGGACAAATAAGCAGAAATCCCAAAGAGGGCGGCATTGGTTCTTCACCACTATTAAACAAGAGACTTAAAAACGAAATGAGTGCACTGACCGGTCCCAGTAAAACCTCGAGACGAATGTTCGGAGCCACTTGATTGGAAGATTTGCGCTAGTTCCTAAACGTCTGCAAAATTGTCTCAGTGCCTACAGCTCAGCTTCTGCAAGGTAGTAACTGATAGGCGAATGGTAACAATCTTGTTGGACGAAGTAGTGTATACTCCACCAAACCAATTGAAGCAGAAGAGAGATTGTGCCGTAAACGTCACGACTGAAGGGTTTGTCGGACTTGTCACTCACTTGAGATAGTAGAAGATGACGGCCAGACAGCCTGTGACAACCACCTCCAGCAGAAAGAGCGGCACCATCACATGGTTGACTGGGTGGTCCCCCATGACTGGCTCCACGATCCGGTGACCCTGTCGACCGATCCATTAGACGAGACTGCTGCTTCATGTGCTATACAACCCCCAGGCCGCCGCTGAGTAAGATCAACGCAACCGCCGTCCTATGCTTAGCCCCCCCCCCCCCTAAATCCCCCAGCGAAGCGCGAATCTCACAGTCTGTTGTTTAAGAGCCGTATGACATGCCGTACAGGTAAGCTACTCAATGGGTCTTTGCAAAAGCACACTGGGTCAACTTTCATGGACGCCTAAAACCAGAAGTGCTTGCAGTTTGACGCCAAACTTGCAGGCCATTACCCTTAAGCATAATGTGTTGACTTACTCGAAATGCTCAGTGCATTTGCGAGGAACAGAATGCTTATGGATAAGGCATAGCTAATAGTCTTATTCCTAGGGGAATAACCAGGAGAAAAGAGAAATAGACATACTATTAATACTTTGACCTCTAGTTAATGCAAGTATTATCTATCTACATAAATAAAACACGCATTATCCGTCTCTATGATTAAGACGTGATTGATTAAGACGTGTATTAGCATTGCATCTATCTTTCCATTCCTCTGCTTAATCTTCAAGGCATAAGGCTATTAGTACTCTCTTGTCCTCCTCGATATGTACATCTGAAGACGAAGTGATGTCAAATTTGTCGTTTCGTTTCACACAGACACTTTGCAGCCCACAGTACTAATACTGCACTTGACTGGCCACAACCCCACCTCTCACCACCATGGCGCCCGTCCTCCGTCCGCACCCCGCCACTGACCGTGTTTTCAGCGTCTGCGCAGCGGCTACCTTCCCCCGTCTGCCGTCCGCTGCAGCCCGCGCGCCACCGTGTCCGGTTACGGACGCCTGCCGTGCGACCGAGCGCGCACTATCTGGCCGATACACGGCCGGCAGAGGATCAGACCGCGCGTGTCAGCCTCCCTATCGGCCGACACCTCCAGCCGGCTGATAACAGCCGGCGCGCACCCGACACTGATGACGCGGCCTTGCAGGCTGGTCGGTGAGGTGCGCGGAAGGGGATAGATGTCTTGATATTTCGATTATAAGCCCCTTATTGAAACGAATACCAGTAGAATCTGGTGTCTGGTACACTACTAATATTCTTTTCGGTAAAGGCGCGTGGTCGAGATATCAATGCATCTATCTCTCCTTTCTTCTGGTTACTCTATGAGGAATGAGTGTAACAAAACTGTCTAATCAGCTTATGTGCACGCACTTTGACAACGCATTAAAGGTTAAATTGGCAGTTGGGCTGGATGGAGCGCTTCAGATGTAAGCATCCTCTCCTCAGCACTAGATCCGGACGGCGCGGCAAACACGAACTTTGATGACGCGCCGTAAGCCGTGTGACAGCGTTTTAGACGCAGCCGCATTTGACGCTGTGCGACATGACCCGCGCCCTTGACCCGCGTCCCCTTTGGGGCTTCGCTTCCGTAAATAAATATAGTTCGGTACTTGTGATGCCTATGCTCAAGGACGTACCGCTGAGGGTTGTCGACACCGATCGACGTCGGGTACCGGAACCTCTTCCGCTGTAACTTCCGTCCGTTGCACAAAAATGTGGCTCAGTATACCGCGCCTGGCCTCTTAGGTTTCAGAAAACCGATTAAGTTTCAAAAGTAGTACAGATCGCATGAGACCTACAGTTTTCTGACGAAGCTGGGGGATGAGTGAGGAGGATATCAGGTAGCTCGGCCGCAATATAGTATTGGTGAGAAATTAGATGATATTTTTCAATAGTCTGATTGTGAAACAGCGACAAGACGTCCTGGTACGTCCTGGCTCAGGATAAATTTGATGCTGACTTCAAACCAATGAAAGACCTCTAGACAACTCCACAGATTTTCCGTAGCAGGCTGCAGGCTCAAAACGAGAATCTCGGCAACCTTGTTACAGTTCTGTTTTACCCAGGGAATGGGAAAGGTATGGCTCCCTAGGGCCACCTACTACACCATGTGCTGGTGACTTGACGATCCCGAAGAAGAAATGGCCAGTTCTACCACTGTCGAGGGAACCTGAACATCACGGATGGCCTGTCACTGTTCGGAAGCCGGGTCGCCACTCCGTCCACGATGCAGCCTGACATCTTCGAACGCCTGCATGACAGTCACGGGAGCCTCAGCAAGCGTAGGAGAGAGCAAAACGGTCGGTCTGGTGCTGGAATCTGTCGGCCGATCTGAGGAGGAGGGTCGAGGGCTGGGTTTTCTGTCAGACCCACAGCCGTGTCTGGCATGCGGAACCAATGACTTTGAGGGGCCTACCAGAACGGCTCTGGTTGAAACTGGGCGTAAACCTGTGCAAGTTTAACTCACAAGCCTATCTCATGACTGTAGGCTATTTCGCTGGATCGAAATCGACCGACTCATCACGAACACGAGCGTAGACGTTATCTCACGCCTGAAGACGCACTTCACCAGGTGGGAGAGTCCCAGGAAAAGTTCGCTCTGGCGGCGGGCACCAGTTCGCGCGTGTGGAGTTTCACAACTTCGCGGGCGACTACGCATTCTGCCACACTGTCAGATCCATGCTGATGCGTGAGGCAACAGTGTAGCCGAGCGAGCGATGTAAAATTCAAGGGAGAAAGGATCGTGGCTGAGCAAGATCTCCAGTTGGCCCTGGTGTCACACGGATCGACTCCGCTGGAGATTACTGGCATGCAGATCGACTCCGCTGGAGATTACTGGGATACAGATCGACTCCGCTGAAGGTAACTGGCATACAGATCGACTCCGCTGAAGGTTACTGGCATACAGATCGACTCCGCTGAAGGTTACTGGCATACAGATCGACTCCGCTGGAGGTAACTGGCTACGCGCCCGCCCAGCTCCCTGTAGGTCGTTATCTCCGCACCAGAGTGCCCACGCCCATATCCCAGGTGGCGCCACATTCGCCAGACATGGCGACTCTTGCCAGAAGATCTGTTAAACAGAAGCAGCGCAGCACGGCGCAGTATAACCGACCGCACGGAGCAGCACCGTTACTACCTCTGCAGCCAGGCCGCTCCATGCGCACCCGTCCTCCGAACAACACCTGGTCGGATCCAAAAGACGTATTTAGTCAGGCAGGTCCTGGAGTTCACCATCTCACCCTAAACAGGCGCCAACAGCAGCTGATCCCCAGCAGTCCGGTGCCGCAGCCTCAGCATTGCTGGCAGCCTCGCCCCCACCGCAGCACCTACAGACCGGAGCAGCGCCGGTACCAGCCATGTGATACCAAGCACACCCGCGGCGTACCCGGGTAGGTCGTCCAGTTTGACCAACGCCGGCATCCCCGTGCAGGTCACCGCATCGCTTCCCTCGTCCACTCGGTCGGGCGCATCCCGAGACCCATCAGGCGGCTCGAGCTCTAGCGTATCAGTTGGCACTGCTTTAGAAGCTTCTAGTGTTTTCTTATGCAAAGAGATGTGCCGTAGGCCGTGTGCTATCCGACGCAACCGTATTCCACGCTGTAGGACATGAGCCACGCCCCCTTCCGGGCCTCGTTTCCGTAAGTAAACCTAGTTTTTTTGCAGTGCATCAATAATGTTCTTTTCCACGCAACGTCTTATACAATCTTCGCCGAACGTGTGCGCAGTGAAACAAGTTCTCTGTTTATATGTCCGTAGCTGTCGGGACAATAACTGCGCATGCAAAACACTAAAATTCTTGTTTGCAGGCATTGCGCGCGCTCTTAACAATAAAATTCTACTGTCTGTAATGTATAAACACCTGTTTATCACTCATAGTCGGTCTTGGGTACGGATATTGACTTCATTCCTATATACAATTACTGATTACATTGTTATTATTATTATTGCGGATCTTGGCGAAATCCAGGAAGTGGCTATTCTAACGCCGCGTCAGTACATACTGCCTAGATCAACACAGAACACGCAACACGTGCAAATGAGACGCAACGCCAGCGATTCACGGACGATGTTATAAAACATGGGCGCCTCGTAATACAATCAGCACCTGCACGTCATGGCCGGTTGGTCAATTTAGGTAAGTTCTCTGACGAAAAGCACTGCCTTGCCCTTGAACTCATTTAAGTACTTGCTCTGACGGGTGGCAACGGGGGGCGATTCCACGCCGCCACGGCTCGGTAGGGAAATACCCTTTCACGCACTCTAAGCGAGGGTGTTTTACAGCGCACGTCTACAATACAGTTTCGCCATTGGTGGAAACTGTGCGGCTTCAGAGTACAAGCTGTACTCTGTGCTGCTCTCTAAAACTATGCCATTTCTGTTTCGCTGATCATTTTAGGGAGCAGATTCTGCGCGCCCGGCAGGCTCTGCGTGACGTCACGAAGGCTCCTTGCCGTCTCGGTGTTTGCGAACAACAAAAGGCGCCGAAACTATGATATATGATGTCCTGAGTGACATCGACGGCGTAAGTCCTTGTCGTCCGGTCCGCTGTGAATATACCCTCAGTTCACCGATCGCAAACCCATTGCGGGGGAATGTGCCGCCGAGGATCCTTAATACTAATCGATGCAACTGAAATGATTTATTGAGAGGTATATGTGTTAACAAAACGTCACTATTTCTCCATTCTCCTGGTTTTTATAAGAGGAATAAGGCTATTACTGCTGTCTTATCTACAAGCACAATGATCCTCGCAAATACACACGACAGCCTACGAAATCTTTATCTTTTTGAACTCAGATTGTAGTTCTTTCTTCACCTTATTCGGTACTCCAGAATGACTGCATGCATTGCTTGGAAATTCCCACCTTTAACGCGCGCGCAGGCTAGGAATAGATTTAACCATCGAATGCTTCTTTCTAACCTAACGTCCGAACGGTCAGGCGTAACTATACGCGAATGTGTACGGCTTTAGCCAATGGAATAGCCGATCTTCCAATATGAAAATTAGGTTATCTCGTCAGGTCACTGATCAGTGACAGGTCAAATTCAGGCCATGGCTGTCAGCGATGGTAATTCCTACGGAATCATACTAGTCCGACGCGACAGTTGAGAGTCTCGAAAACGTGCTTTGTTACAAAGAAGTAAACACATTTCAGATGGTTTTTTGGGCGAGAGCACAATTCATTTCAGGATTACGACCAATTTAATTTGCCTTGGGTCTGGTATGAAGGTGACATCAAGGCAAAAAGCAAATCGTGTTATTACTGGAAAAATTGTTTGACGAGGTCGGTAGTTTTGTGGTCATTTCGAGTTTGTTTTCGCGGGGGCGTCAACAGATGTCTTGTTTCACCTTTATCAGGGTCAGCAAACCTTAAATGAATCCGATCAATCATTTGCTTTGAGTTGCGCATTCCGCCTAGCGTAGTTATTGACCCTGATTTGGACTTTAAAAGCAAAACAGTCTCGATGATTTTGGCCTACCTTGACTTTCTGAAGTTTAAAAACGTTCGCTGACCTAGCACGAACACCGGCGATCTTCCGCTTCGAAAAGGCCTCTAGGTTAATGCGATGGAATAGCGAGTCTAACAAACGCTTCGAGTACCGACCCAGTGTTTGACCTTGTTTTGCATGTTTTAACACAAAGGTCATGACTTCAAGACCTCAAAACTCGGCGCCACTGATTTCATATGGACGGCCTGCAGATCATATTACTGGCTTCTCTAGCTCTCAGAGTGATTGATATCGCAAGGGGATCAAGTTACCTTCCCTCCTAAATCAATGTTCAAAAAAAGTTGAAATAGATTTTTAAAAAAAATTAATTGTGTCGCATTTATCCTGTCGGGCGGGTGCTCACAAAGATCGTTTCTATGAGGAGAGAAATCAGACTTACCTGCGCATGGCACATTCTCGTGTGAATGAAGATAGGCGCAGCGCATTTCAGTGCTGTGCAGAAATCGCCAGCTTCAGGACACGCAGCCGTGCTCAACGAAAATGTATTTGCGGCAAAACCATCTACTGGGCCAAGTTCGGTTACCCAGCCACTGTAACACATCGGGTACGTTTACGACTTAACGTGTTATTCAAAAAGCTGAGTACATCACGTACGTCCATAACATCACATCCCAGACCTACAAGACGAATACATCGACAGCCCACGCGCATCGCTTTCGCAACACGCGCCGCGCGTCAGCAAGTGTATCTCGTTCCGCACGGCGCGACCGACCGGTCTGTTACCTGCCTGCACGATCCCGTAACGGAATTTCGGGGTGCAGCCAGACGGGCGGTGCCAAGCACGCGGTAACAGCGCTCTGCCAGTCGCTTGGTTCGCTCCAGGATCGACACAGCCCTAGTCGAGATGCAGTACTCGGAGCTCTACGTCCATGTGACGTCAGTGTCCATCGGGGATAACAGGCATCGGCTCCGGGTGATGGTCGGGGAAATCACGGCTTAATGGTTGAATACCAGTGTCCCACTAGTTCAACTGGTAACTATGTCAAGGCACGGCACGACTTTTGCGTGAAGCTGAATAGCCTCACGAGGCAAACAGCTGTACGACAGTCAGCTGTGTCTGACAAACCCACACTGTACGCTGGTGCATCTAAACGACTCTGCGCGGTGCTCTGTGTGGCGCTCTGTGCGGTGCTCTCTACGGTGCTCTGTGCGGTGCTCTGTGCTTTCAGGTCTGTGCTGTGCCAGTGCGGTCAGGAGAGTGCTGCAAAATGCCATCGCAAAATATTGTTCTCAGTTGATGGTCACCACATGCATACGTAAGCCACTTCTGGTACAGTGGATGGGGTTTAGGCCGACTGCCACATTCCTGATTCACCATGGCGCCGCAGAAAAAAATAGCATACTGAAACAGGCGATCGTCGACGATGAACTCCCGGCACCGTAGCTGATCTTCAGGTGCACGCGAAAGCACCTGTGATAACCCATGGGGACGCGACATGCATGCACACGACGTGCATGACAACAGAGAACGCGCGACATATTATTGCTGTTGGCTTACGCGACGCAGTGTCAACTTGACGACGGGCTTTGAGTGCATACGCAATTTTGTACAGAAACATTAGTGGGGATATTGAAGCCAATCAAAACGCGTTTGGCATAGTTCAGGATTGAAGCTGCATTCTACACTTTGAATAAGGATGTTGATTCACGGTGGCATTTAAAACATGATCACGGTGTCCTGAGTGCTGTCTGGAGTGCAGCAAACGTCCGTACACATAGTGAGCCTGCAGGTCATGCTATACGAAGCTCCTCGCAAAGAATGTGGTGGTAAGACAAATATCATTATTTGTGGATTGGTTCTAAGCGATAGACATTTCCTTAGCATCTGTGCACACCAAATTATCTGCTCGTTGAGCTGTCTCCCACTTCCCATCCATCTTTTAGTCTGGTCAGATAAACAAGTTGTCTCAGTCATTGTGTAAAATTGAATTAATTTGACTAGCGCTAGAAAGCGCATGTCAGTATTCATGTGGTGTTAGAGATGGTTGAAGTGAGTCAGTGCCTTGTGCAGATAATGACAGATTCTGAGGTTGGCAATGCTCAAGTGTCGTCAGTGGGATGCGATGAATGTGAGAGGGCCACAGTCACCAATACGCCGCACCCCTGCGTCTCCCCCGGGGGGTGCGTCAGGAGACATGCCAGCCTTCACATCAGGCGGCGCCCGGGACCAATTTTTCGTCACTTACATCCACGCACACAAGCGCACGCATGCATGCATGCATACACGCATGTGCGCGCGCACACACGCACGTATGCATGCATGTACGCACGCACGCACGCACGCACGCACGCATGAACCGCCTGGTGCCGTCCCTCCGCCCAGGACAGGCGCGCCTACTAGTCCAACGCGAGTCGCTTACCGCTGTAGCGCACTAGGGCACATCTGATCGAGCCGCCCTAACCCCGGCGAGCGCGGGCTCGGGGCCTGTGATCGCCGGGGGCTGGGCCCGCTGACCTGACCTCGCCGGTCCCTGTGGCGCTGGCCCGGACCGGACCGCCGCGGTGACACAGGCAACGGTACGACACACCGGCTGTCTAGAGGATACACCAACGCGTCACACAACGGAAGACATGGAGACGACGAATCCGGGCTGAGAAAACCGCCGGCTGGGCACCACCACCGCGCTGGCAGCAGGTGGCACTGGTGCGGCGGCCGACCGGAACACCAGGTGGCGCTGGGGCGGGAGCCGACCAGGGCACAGGTGGCGCTGGTGCGGCGGCCGACCAAAGCACAGGTGGCGCTGGTGCGGCAGCCGACCAGAACCACAGGTGGCGCTGGGGCGGGAGCCGACCAGGGCACAGGTGGCGCTGGTGCGGCGGCCGACCAGAGCATAGGTGGCGCTGGTGTAGCAGCCGATCACAGCGCCAACTGATACTCAGCGCCAGCCCCGTCACCAGGTCGCGATGCGCAGATGTCGTACTTTCTCAGCCGAGGGTGTCCATCAAGATTCTAGACGATACCGACGCACGGTTGAAGGATCCCGCTACTAGATGGCGCGCCTCCACTGACGGGAGGCCGGCGCTCAACGGCTCACTGGCTTTCGGGAAGCACGACCAGTATCTTCTGCACGAGCCGAGTGAAGGCTCCTGAAAACCGTCGATGCCGTTGGAACAGTGTAAATGCATCAGATCATGCGAGATAATATTTTTATCAACTGGTGTCCAGGGCTGGCGTTACCTGATATGTTCGGATAGATATGGTCGGGGTGGAATGTCATAGACGTTAGCACAGCCTTTGGCTATATGGAGATGTTTTGAATGTATCATTGAAGTGGGCGTCGCAAAAGTCAAATGAAAAATCTCCATACAGATAACCTGGTCTGGATAATCCCACTGGGGTGGCAAAGCCCGCTGTCTGAAACAACTGGTCTATTTCTATTGCAGTCATGCTTGTGACCCCAAGCTCAGGCATATATAGCAGGATTGCTCGCGTGTCATATGTAAAACAATGCCAGTTATACCCGCTAAGCTTAATTCCAGCTCATACCCACTTCGCAGATTGATGTGTAGATAAGAAGTTAGCGACGGAACATGTAGTCCTTGTTAAAATGACCTTAGCCAGCACATGGGGTCAAACATTGCAGACAATACGTGTGCCTAAGGAGGCTCCATACTGTGTCATTATCTCACACCAGAGATGGGGGGGGGGGGGACAAATCACCACTCACCTTCCGTGTAAAATCTGGGGGATTTGCTCGAATCATGACCTCCACGTCAAAAAAGACCTTTCAAGGTAAAACCATTCGGGTAAATTCAAGATCTTCAATAGTAAATTGAAAATTCCCCCCTTTGGAAATCCACTACGCTAGAAGAGCTCGGAATGGGGTTCTTTAAAAAATAAAGTGAATTCCTAATTGAATTTAGTATCGAGCGTACGGTACACCCTGATGGGCACAATATGGTGTTTATCGCACCAGATCCCTGATGACTTTCGAATGATCCTCGTTGACGATTTTCTAGATTCGTCACTGCCTACAGCGCCGTCGCTGTCGCCCCTTCCTACGCGACACCGTTTCACACCGAGGTGAAGTCCGGGCTCCAAATACCCGATATTGCTAGAGAATGCAACGCCTTAATAACGCAGCAGCACTTCATGCAGTGCCAAGGCGTCAATGCCTAGGTTTTTTGTAGATGAGGCTCAAAATTTGCACACTCACTTGAGATTATGAGGCAATTTCTCAATTGCTGTGCCTCAAACTTTCCATAAATTAGGATTTTACCCCAGACTATTACACATGCGGAACAGCCAGAAGAGCTTGCACTTCGTGCAAGTTCTCGTGCTTTATACCTCCGTGACTGGACATGGCATGAGGTAGCGATTCGGCTTGGAATGTAAGGAATGAAACTCTATTCTAGCTTTGGACTAGTGGCGGGCGGTGGCAATGAATTTTTAAAACCTTTTTTCAGTTAAATTTTTCGGTTACAACGGAAAAATTGTAGCCGGGGTCAAGATTCCCGGTAAGAGAAGAGAACTCAGGAAACAAAGAACATTTTTGCTTCCCATACAGAATATGCTCCTATGTCTTCGACTGCAGTGCAATATCAGCTAAGAACACGAAGTCTATAGCGGGGACAATTTCGTCGACCGAGATCTGACCGATCATATCCCGACCGAGATCGGACCCATGATATCCCGACCGAAACCGGACCGATGATATCCCGACCGAGACCGGACCGATGATATCCCGACCGAGACCGGACCGATGGTATCCCGACCGAGACCGGACCGATGGTATCCCGACCGAGACCGGACCGATGACATTCCGACCGAGACCGGACAGATCATATCCCGACCGAGACCGGACCGATCTGTCCCCAACGGGGCTACGGCAGCAGCTGGCTTTCAAGGCGCGGCACTGACGAACACGTTACCGTTGCTATTGCTCCCCGACGACCATCATCATCTTTTGGAGCTGGTGGGTGACACCGACTAAAAAAGAGAGGGCGGGAGACAAGCAGTGTCAGCGGTGGCGTCCTGCGGCGGCGCGGCCTGGGGGCCCGGCGCGGCGGCGGTGGCGCGTGAGACAGCCGGCAGGCGCAGGGTTGCCACACGGCGGGGACACCGGACATGTGACGACGGCTCGGAAGCGTAAGCTTGCGCAGAACGGCAGCGGCCATGGCGACGCACATCGCCAGTGGGATTTGGGATTGCCTTCATAAAAACTGAGGAGATAAATATTATCAGAGATATGCCCGTGCGGATTTCCAGGTGAGCTCAAATTTCGTAGAAGTCAAGTCCCTGATTTAAGCAAATCAAAATACTGGCGTTTAAGTTTTTGTTATGTTTAAAGGCCCATGACCTGCGCCGAAACGCTTGTAAAACCCTGTTGAGGTGCGCCAAAGTCTTTTGCAGCATCACAGCTATAATGTTTCGTGGGACAGTTCTCGCGAATGCCAATATGAGTTTTTTGCACGGAATATTTTTAAAATGAATTACTCCACGAAATTTGCCTTTTATGTATGACTCACCGAATAACATTTAACAGCTTAATGAAAGCCGGCGACTGTTTCTGAAGACACTGGATGAGAAGGACATATTTGTGAACAATGTACGGACTTAGTGGGCGTGGAACGCGCCAGGTACCATTTAGGACGGCTGTGCGAGACGGTATTGGGGCACTGAGGAGAACATGGCAGGACCAAAGCAGTGATTGGTATCCAGCACACCCACATTGGTAATCGGCACAGCATGAGCAGGGCGACATATGCTGATGGCATGCGCTTACAACGAATATCATGCACATGATCCGCAAGATAACGCGGTAACCATATCATATATATATATATATATATATATATATATATATATATATATATAATATAGCGTGCGTTTTAAACTTATAACATGCGCCCACCAAAAGGCGGCCAGCAAAAGACCAAAGAAATATTGGGTAAGAAAAATTAGCAAACAGAAGATCGGTTCTTGGGAATGGTTTAAGAAATACGCAGTGAGGAATGATTTAGGCTAGGACAGTGATTTGGCACGGGGGCTACAAGCTTCTTAACGGTTTTCCCCTGTCGGATGAAGAAACACCCATGGTATAATTATCCGAGATATCGCCCTCGTCCGGTAAGTTAGTATGCACACAACGTCTCCGTTAAGTCAACTCCCTGGCCGTCATCACGCGCCATGGAACGCTATGTAGAATGGCTGGAGGATGTTTGATCTTCAGCAATAAGCACGCCGCAACCCGAATTTTCTCCTTGAGATTGTTGAAATTCGAATCGAGGTCTTCTGATTGCGAGTCCAGTGCTCTACCAGCCGAGATAACCCGGATGACAATCTTGCGGTGTTAGAACTTGGTTCCATTCATTTCCTGGATATTTTGATGATTTTTCTGCGGAAATGGGAGCTTTATCCAGCAGGTGTTTGGCTTTGTCATGGCTTGGCTTTGTCATGGGGTTGCTACCCAATGTCATGCAAATTGCCTCCTTGATTTTTTAACTGTCCAGTGTTGCTCGCTGTCGATGACGGTGGTCTTATCTGACGCCGGTCGGTGATCACGGTCTGACCATGCATGCTCTGCCGCACTAGACTTCAGTATCTCACCCCGGATGGTTGCTTTCTTGTGCTATTCCAGCCAGACCGACAGAAAGCACATTTCCTCTCCTTTGTAGGACGTGCCACAGCTGCATGGTATGTTCTATACGCAGCTCTTCGTCCGTTCCATGTCAGTGGTCTGACTTTGCTGAGTGTTCTCCGGAGCGTTAAGCTGCTTCTTAAGACTGTTCTGGTATTGTATTGTCCATTAATACCCCTGATTTTCTATGACAGCCCCTTGTTGTGTGGTAATGATACCGTTCCTGTTGGTTTTCCCTTGTGCTGCTCTGCTGGTTGGAGATTCTTTTTGAGTTTCCCATCCATGAAATCTGTCAGGAACGCATTTCTGCGGACCTGCTCAGTTAGAGAGTTTATTTTCCTCTTCCTAGCAGCGCTGATGGCGTTTGCGCGATGCTGAGGGCATCTCACGATGTCTTTCATGACTGCGCTCGGATTGTGTGACTGGAAGTTCAGGTAGCGATCTCACGATGCCTTTCTTGACTGTGCTCGGATGGTGTGACTGGAAGTTTAGGTAGCGATCTCACGATGTTTTCTCGACTGTGCTCGGATTGTGTGACTGGAAGTTTAGGTAGCGATCTCACGACGCCTTTCTTGACTGTGCTCAGTTTGTGCGACTAGAAGTTAAGGTGGCGACCAGCTGCTGTTCGTTTCCGGTACATTGATATCCTGGACCTGCTGTTCGTTCTCCCGATCAATACGTCTAGGCACGGAAACCTTTGTTTTTTGTTACGTTCCATAGTAAACTGGTTGGCTGGTCACAAGCTGTTGATGTGGTCGTGAAATTTTACTACACCTTTCTGGTATTTCTTATCTGCCTTATCTGTCTATTATCTGTCTTTCGCTCTTCTTCGGACACACTGGACATCGATGGCTTGACCTCTTTCATTGCTCGTATGATTTTCCAGTATAGTTCATTTCTGTTGTCTCCTGAATCGCACATTGCAGTCTCTTCTATGAGAGCTACGATGTTCAGGAGGCTTGTTCAAGAATTTGAGCTCGCAAAGTTTAGTCCTTTATTCAGCCCTGTTTGCTCACGTGGTGGTAATTCTTGTCACACAGGTTTACCACCGCCTTAATTGGTTGCAGCATTGACCTGAAGACTGTCTTGCTCTTCTTGAGCTTCTCCAGCTTTTGGATTGGGATTTTCTTCACCATTTGATCTTCAGATGCGTAGGCTCTTTTGAACGAGTTCGACATGATACAAAGATCTTCTTCCGCTGCTTCTTGTGATGTTATCTTTGACTTGATATTTGGTGCCGATATTTCAGGTTTATCTTGATCCGACGATGGAAGGCAATGCGCTATCTTATCCAACCAAAGCTCGTTCTGTCTTTGGTCTGGATCGAGGCTCTCACATCCAGTCCTGCTAAAATGTTGTCGCCTCTGCCTCTGCACAAGAATCAGATATAATTCTTTGCACGTGCTGGCTTGTTGTTCGGCTTTTCAAACTGTTACCAGCTGGATGCCGTTTCGAGTCCGTACCGATCGAGTATAGTTGTACACCTTTTAACGTCGTGTGCAAACGAACACACCAGACGAGGACAATGTCCCGAGCAGCCATGTCATCCGTCATATCAATACCTCGTCTCAATCTTTCCGTAAAACTATCAAGACAACTAGCTTTGCCACGTATGCGCCAGTACGCTCGTTATTAGTTGCGCGGCACCAAATGCATGTCACTTGCACCCCCTCAAGCACCCCAGCCCGGCAGGTCAGTTTACACCCCACTTGCGCCGGTGACCTGACGGAGGCCGATCGGGGCATCTCCCCCGGCGCGGACCAGCCTCGAGAGTACAGTCCAGCCTCGAGGGCACGGCTCAGTCTCGAGAACACGGCCCAGCCTCGAGGACGCGGCCCAGCCTTGAGGGCGCGGCCCAGCCTCGAGGGCGTGGCCCAGCCTTGAGGCACGGGCCCAACCTCGAGGGCACGGCCTAGCCTGCAGAACACAGCCCAGCCCCGAGGGCACGACCCAGCCTCGAGGGCGCGTCCCAGCCTCGAAGACGCGGCCCATCCTCGAGGGCACAGCTCGGCCTCCAGAGCACAGCCCAGCCTCCAGAGCGCGGCCTAGCCTCGAGGGCGCGGCCCAGGTTATCGGCAGCTCAGCTGGCGCCCCTGCAGAGGCCGCAGGCGTCACCTGATTTATAGACGCGTGGCTGGGTAAGCAGCGCTCTCTCAGAGTCGACGCGGCGCCGCGAACCTGAGGCGGGCACGCTGCCAGGTCACAGGGGGCGGGCACACCGAGCGACCTGGCGGCGGCTCCGTCCGGTTTGACGGAGGCCTCATGCCGAGATGTCCAGGTGTGGAGGGATCGGGCGATGCCAGGCGCGTTAGGTGAGGATAGGGTAACGCCAGGTGCATAA